TTTATGTAGAATTGTGGTTCTCAAGTTTGCAATACTTTTTTGTTTTTGAATCATTTAAAAAACAATTCATATGATGTAAAAATTATTATGCAAGATTCAAACTTTCGAATGCGACTTTATAATCATTGGTTCTTTACACAAATTGTATTTCAATTTTGTATGATGTACATGCTTTTATGAGTTCATGACAACTTTGTCATTTATCACATGGTTCATTTAAAAAATTAAAAATGATTTAAGAATAATGTAATAATTATTTGTTATGGTGATACTTTAAGATCAATGATTATTTACTTATCGTATTGAAAACTAATTTGTATGCGAGTTGACGAATTTAATTATTTTATTTATGGCAGTAGGATTCGTATTAAATGCCATGGTCATGTATAATTTTAAATTTTACACTGCTAATATTCGAAAAAATATAAAAATAATAATAATAATAATAATATGGATGAAGAAAAATAAATATAATTTAAATTTATTTTTAATTATTAACATGCCCCCCCCCCCGACATCAAATACCTTAAGGGTTCAGTAATACAATTTTATGAGGGCTAACAATAGTATTGTGTGAAAAAGTGGTTAAAGGTTTAAAATGAAAAATGCGTAAAGGTGTTGTCAGGATTATTTTTGCGGTTGAAATAATTTTGTTTATTTCTTAAATATTTTTATAAACAAATCACTAAAAAAATTACAGACCCTTCAATTTTTACATTTCAATTTTTACCTTTTGTATAGGCTATCATTCGGTTTGCCCAAGTCACTCTATTTTTCCGGGCAGCCTAGACGTGCAAAAAAAAGGAAAGTTCCCCCCCCCCCCAAAAAAAAAAAAAAAAAAAAAACTATGTTATGCAAAAAAATAAATTGAACATCTTTTGTCTCAGGGCCACATCAGTTTTTTTTATCATTTTTTATTTTATTTTATTTTAGTTTTTTTTTCTGACTAGGTAAATGGACCCATGTCACTCTGGTAGCTTGACACTTTTTAATATTTGATTTTAAACCTACAAATGACATAGTGAAAAAAAAAAAAAAGTACCAAATCGAAATAACAACTACTTTTATAGCTTATTTTTTCACTACTTTTAAATTTTTTCCTAGGTTAGCAGCCGGGCTGCTCGAGCCACCTTATTTTTCAGGACGACCCGACCGTGTAAGGACCAGAGAAGGTCATAGCAAAAAAAAAAAAAAAATCAAAATAATCCGGAAAAAAACTATGTTACGCAAAAAATATAAATTGAACAATATTTGTCTCAGTGTCACATCGAAATTCTTCATCATATTAAAAAATCATAAAAAATAAAAAATAATAATTATTATTATTCTATCATGCCGGACAAGTGACTCTGGATCACTCTGCCAGCGTAGTATTTTCCGCAAAAATATCAAATATATCCTAATTTTACAGATTCTTAAATTTTTATATTTTTGTTATAAATATTTCTGAGAGCAAAAAACCTCTAAAATTATTTTTTTAAAATTGTGGGACTGCACTCGTCGGTAACGAACGGTCGACGCCTCTTAGTAAAACCCGAACTAAACTCACAGGAATGCAATTGTTTTTTGTGTCAAGCGGAGGGGTAGTTTGAACATATTTTTCATATTCGGTGACAATTGAGAAAGTTATCGATTGTATAATATATATTTTTTTTAAATAAAAACCACATACTGGTTTTTTTTTTTAATTTTATGATTGCGTTGTGAAAATTCACATAAAAAAAGAGGTTCGGTCAATGCAAATATTCGGTTGTCAATTTTTATATCGTATTACAATGATCGTGCACCCTCTTAAATCAAGGTTGTACATGTGTTTTTAAAATAAAAACTCGGCATAACGGGTATGAGAAATGTACTATGGAAGATGTAAAATTCTTATTTATCACAAATTTTATTTAAATAATAAAAAATAATAATAATAAATCAGTGATGTACACTATAATCTGATACACTAGATTTTAAAAATATATATATATATATATTTAAAAAATAAATAAATAATAATAATAATGAAATACGAATATTGATAAAAACTACTGTCACTTGATAGGAGTGATGCTTGGGGGTGGACAAACAAAAATAAGTTAATAAAATCACGTGAACGATATAAGGTTATTTGAATCACTGGTTGAATGAGTCAAATGTTATTTATTTATTTTTTAATATTATTTTATACTTTTATTTCGACTTTTGGTGAAAAGGTCAAATATCTAAATTAAAATAATATTAATTCTTACTATTCGAAGTGCATGCGAGCAATAGTCTGTTACAGGGTTTTCAACTTAGTTGTGGATTGCAATCATGTACTTAAAACTGACCATAAAAACGGTCAAATACATCATAAGAAGTTGTCGTCGGTATTGCACGAGTTGGTTGTCAATGTTTTGTTTTGACTCTCGTGCCAACATTCAACATATGAGTGACATAAAAGTTGAATTAGAAACCCATAAAAAAACAAACCCCCCAAATATACCCCTATAAAAATAAAAAACAATTTGCCCTGCATTCAACAACTTTGCACCAAAATGAATAAAGCACCACTCTAATTTTTTCATGCGATGACCTCCACCATACATGATTCATACCCCCTTTTAAATTGCATGAACCTCCTAACTACCACCCCAGGTTTCCACACGTGTTAGGGTTTTATAACGTTATTTTGTTCGTTTCTTTGGCTTGTTTGTTTTTTTTATGTTTGCACTATGGGCCCGTGTACTTTGTTTTTGAATTTTGCACCGAAATTATTGGCAAAAACAACGAATTTTTATGTTTTTGTTTACTGCGTGTCCAGGTCGCCCACCACCAGAATTGCTTCATACCCCCTTCCAAATTGCATGAGCCTCTAAACTACCAGCCCGGGTCGTAGGGTTTCGTGGATCTACATAGGGGTGCTGGACCTGATTTCCAGCAGATACATTCACATCACCGTACAGGGATGGTGAACCTGATTTTCAGCATATACATTCTCATAATTATATAGGGATGCTGGGCCCGATTTCCAACAGGTGTAGCTCCCCACCAATAGATGGAGCCTTCGATGACGGGGCCTACTTACCGGAGATGCTCTTATCACCTCGTTAAGTAGGTTTCCCGTATAACGAAATTTCTTTAAACCACCAGTACCTCCGCCAGTGTTAAGAAATTACGATGTCTTGGCCAATACCAAAACTTTTCGAGGTGGGACACATGGTCGACAATGTCCTATAAATATGAATTTTATAGTCCATGAAAAAAAAAAAAAAAAGTTTTTTCTACTGCAATAATATCGGGCTGGGTAATTCAGAATATCGTGCTCACAATCTTCCTCTACAGAATACACCTTACAGGTAAGGAGGTCACATTCTGAATGTTACTGTTTTTTTTTTTTCGTTGGTTGTGTATTTCTTATGAGTCCCCTGTCCGTGAATTGCTCAAGCTGTCCGTGATCTGCTTAAGCCGTGTTTTGTCAGATGATTATAAGGCTCATCACACTGACACTTAGGGGAATGTATCCAACCAATTTTCACAGTTGGATCTATGTGCCCGTTTTTTTTTTCTTTTATTATCTTTTTGGAATTTGACAACTTGGCCACGGGGCTGAGATGCCCTCAGTGAGGGAACACTCACACTAACACTTCCAATAATGTATACAACTGCAATCACGGGCAAAGCTTTGTTTCCTTTTTTTTTTAATTCTTTTTTGAGGTTCACGACCGCACCTTTTCCTCTTTTTTTTTGTTTTTTTTTGTTATTTCCGTGAGAGTACCAGAAAGAAAACGAAGTGCTACCCAGGGGTCTAGTCCCACCTACAGCGTTGAGAAAACTCAACGCTGAGCTTTCAACCACGTGTGGCATGGTGTGACGGAGCTCTGGCGTTGATGTATTGCGAATCTAACGGTACCAAAATACAGGAGAATAACCTATTAGATTTAGTCATTTTGTAGAATTTTTTTTTGACGTGAAATCCGTTTTGTAGTATGCATTGACCCTTTTGGTTTGGGCGGGAAACCATTTTCTGTTGAGAAAACTACCCTACCGAGGGTAGGGTACATTTCTCAACTTCAGTGCCTTTCCTTTTTATTGTTTTTTTAGACCTCGTTGCATCCTGAAACGGAGGAACTCTGACAGCTGTGTTTGGCTGTCTGGCATCAAACTCGTTTCCTTCTTTGGGCAATGAATGCATTTTGGCCATCCACGTCGTCCCTGTCCATTTTACAAATGGTGACCTCCAGTCCCCTCACCACGGGGAGTATCCTTTTTTCACGGAGACGTTCACTCCGACTGTTCTAGACATGTTTCATTTATCGGAGTTAGGTTATAAAAAATAAGGAGAAAAGCTGTTTCTAGCATTTTTTTCAGTTTTTTTATTTCTTGTTTCGAATATTTTAATGTCGAAATGGCGTCACACCGTTGAGTTTTCTGAACTCAACAACCGTAGGTGGGACCAGACCCCAGGCTCGACAAAGCTCGGAGCGCAGTGAAATTCAGGGTCAGCAAAAACAGGCTCGGAGAAAAAAAAAAAAAAAAAAAAAAAAAAAAACACAGCCCGGGTCGCCCACTACCAGTATTGACGCTACCTTTATTTTGGTAGACACAAAAGAACACTGGCAGGGTGCAGTGCAGCCTAGGGGCTGCAAAGAGATTGATCCCTTGCTCACTCTAGCGTCCCACGGTTGAGTCAGGTGACCCCCTCCAGAGGGGACCAACAGGTTAGGAATCGAAGTCAATACCTACCCATGGCTCACCGTGACCCTTGACGTCGCACTCTGCGCTCCTTGTACAGCCCAACTGTCTCTTCCCCAAAATGCCCCTGCCCCTTTTGCTTGGCGGTCCCGTTGCCCTACGGTAGCCGTACATGGCGGGCCGATCTACCCAGATTGGCTCGTCTCGTTAGTTACGGTCTGGCCGGCCTTGAACCATAGCCCACTACCCGTACCAAAATGTGGACCTTTCTGGCCCCCCTTCCCTCAGGGGTTCAGAGCCCCTGGGGCCATCGGACCTATCCGACGGTGTTGTCTCCGACGGTGGGATTTTCCCTGTCATTTGCCTCGTGGGATGGCGTGGGAAAGAGGAAGAGGGAACTACCGGTAGTCAGCCGTAGCTCATATGCCGTGAGACCGGTGTAGGGTCCTCTTTTGCTCGTGCTTGTGTTTGCCTCAGGTGATCAGCCCGCCAGCCCGCGCTCGCAATTGGAAAGCAGGTCAGGTCAAGATGGTGGACAAGGGGAAGAGCCGGTCGAAGGACATCGTCACGCGGGAGTACACGATCAACCTCCACAAGCGGCTCCATGGCTGGTACACAATTCGAACCTGGTCCTTCTTTCTTATGCTTCCTGCTTTCCTCCACCTTCTCTTCCCTCCCTTCTTAGTCTCCTCCGTATCTTACATCCTGTGGTTTTACCTCCATAGCCTACATCCTGTGGCTTTATCGGCCTGCTTCTTTCAAATGCTCTCCGTCTGTAATGGCGAGCGGCTCCATGGCTGGGGTATACTGTGAACCCGATCCTTTTTCTCTCTGCTGCTTCCCTCTCTCCTCGTCGTTTCTTCCCTCTCTGTCTCCTTTGTATTCGACACCCTCTGTTTTGCATGGACCTGTTCCCTCGTCCATTGTCCGTCTCCGAAGCTCTGTCGCCAGTTTGTGATATCGTCGGAATAGGGGTAATCAGAATACGAAGTTCTGGTGTGCAAAAGGTTTGCAAATGCTTCTTCCTCTTCTGCGCTGTCAAATTGCCGAGGCTGGGAGGTTTGACGCCATAGTACAGAGCTCCCGGAGGTCTGACGTGCAGTGGAGGTCCTTCCTGCAGATAACTGGACGATGGGATTCGGTAGGAAGGTGAAGCATGCATACGTACTCGGTGGGGAAACATTTGACGGCTATGGATGACAGACTGGTTGGCTATTGGCTATTCGGCGGCTATGGATAACAGACTGGCTGGCTGTTGGGTGCCCGAGATTAAGGAAAATTCGAGTGCTATGGATGACCAAGCACAATTGAGACGGCGTAGCTTGGTGTCGGAACGACCATATTTGGCGGGTTGAGGTCAGGGCAGTGCAAGGGCGGGGAGAGAGAGAGAGAGAGAGAGAGAGAGAGAGAGAGAGAGAGAGAGAGAGAGAGAGAGAGANGAGAGAGAGAGAGAGAGAGAGAGAGAGAGAGAGAGAGAGAGAGAGAGAGAGAGAGAGAGAGAGAGAGAGGGGCGTATGCATTGCCATCTAAGGGATAGTGTGTGGTTCATCTGCGAGGGAACTGAGTTGCCTCGCAACTGTGAGGGGGGGGAAGAGGTATGGGGTGAAGGGAGGGTAAAAGAGTCGTCTATTGGAAAGATCAGAGGGACCCGAGTGATGTTGAACGGCGTGAGCTCTTAGGAAAGAGTGGTTGTTCCGAGCGCATGTCACGACTCGTAGAGAACGGGCTGTCGAGGATGGCTTGTGAAGAGTGAAACGAGTGGGTGTGCAGCTGAAGAGGTTATTGCGGGCGAAGGGTAGAGAAATGGAAAGCAGAGAAGAGGTAGGGTGGTACGGAGGGGAGACCGAGAGGAAGGATGTGGCTTATGAAAGAGGTAGGTACGGTACATAGGGAATGAATGCGCCGAAGCACAACAGACGGAAGATTCGTTTTCAGGTCGAAATTTTACCCCATGTGGTTCTCTACCCTCCCGCATGATGGTAAACAATGGTTAAGTATTCTTGTTGATTTCATGTCTGTTCTCTATCTACCGCCTCGTCCTCTGCAAGAACATGTAATTGTGCCTCCGAGGTCTTGTCGTTTTGTCTGTCTCACTCTCTTCTGACCTGGTTATCTGACGATCGGTTGTGGTTTGTGTCCATTCCTTGGCTGTGGGTTGATGGGGTGAAAACACTGGTCCGAATCTGTATCTGGTCGGTATTCCTGTATATGATTCTTCGGCGCCGAATTTTCTCAGCACCTTCAAGAAGATGGCTCCGAAGGCCATCAAGGAGATCCGCAAGTTTGCGACGAAGATGATGGGAACTGCCGACGTGAGGGTCGATGTCAAACTCAACAAGCACATTTGGAGCAGGGGCGTGAGAAACGTACCGCGACGGGTACGGGTCCGCATTGCCCGCAAGAGGAACGACGACGAAGATGCCAAGGAGGAACTTTACTCTTATGTCACCCCGGCCGACCTGCCGCCTGAGGGTTTCTCCAATCTCGGAGTCAAAGTAATCGAAGACGAAGATTAGATTTGTGCGGCGCAAAAGAAGAGGATTGAACAGCGAGAGATGGGGGAGGGGGAGGTAGAGGAAGATTAGGGCATGCCATGGTATGGTCAGTACCCGTGTACAGTGAAGCTCTTTCCTTTCCGTGACGGTGACGATTACTCTCAGGGACTCTCAGGGAGTGGAAAGAGCTCTGCTGACCTCAGCGGAGTCGAGGAAATGTGCGTAGGGAGAGGTAGAGGTAAGTAGGGATATCATTTGGCGATTTGGTGATCTCCCGCGTACAGAAAAATATCATTTGGTGATTTGGTGAGATCTCCCGCGTACAGGGAAAAGCGATATTGTTTGGAGGCGAGAGTTGGGACGGTCGTGATTGTTAGGGATTGAAACGAGAGGTTGATTTGCTTCGGGCTTCGAGAAGAATCTTCAGTTAAGGGGGTTGATTCCGAGTCTTTTTTTGCCTTCATAATGAGAATGTGGCTCATTCTGACGCCTCTCTTTTACCTTCTTTCCTCCGGTTTTCTCTGTGAGCTCGGTGTTCGTGTCGTGGGTCCGTCTGGTGATTTCTTCCAATGCCTCTCTTTAGCTTTTTTACTCTGGTTTTGCCTGTGCGCTTTGTGTTCGTGGGTCCCTCTCTGGTGGTTTCTTTATCTCCTCCACTGCGATCGCTGACAGTCGCTGGCATCGTGTACTTGAGGCTGGCAATCGAAAGGTTGGTCGGTTTGTTTCGTTTTCTGCGTTCTGAATCGTTGTTGTTGTGATGTATTCGTCATGATTGGGTCAAAGATCTTGAAAGATTTTGTTTCTCGCTCTCAGCGACTCTCAAAATATATCTGTGGTGCGCAAAGAGTTCTCGGCCTTCATCATAATTGGAACGACGTGACAACGAAGGGCGGTTTTCAGACGAGTGTGGTTAATCTTAACCCTAATCTCACTCTGTTTTTTTTTTTTACCAATTTCTGCCGCCAGCACTACGCGCTGAGGCAGTGAGCAGCAGTGCCGAAGAGCTATGCTGAGATTCGGGTCTCGCCTTCCTCTGCATCGCGGTCTCCTGTATCCCACTCAGAAAAGCTTGGTCGTATTGAAATGTGCTTAGGGCATCTCACAAACGTCGCCCCCTGAAGAGGTTCGTTGTAGGAAGTGTAGCTGCCGTTTTCATTCGCTGCTCTCATTGATAGTAGGTGGTTTTCTTCGACATCGCAGGACAAGTAATTCAGCAAAATTGCCTCTGACAATGCAATCGCAGATTCGAAAGAACATCCAGCCGTTCTTCCAGTTGAATGGGATCAGGACATCCATGTCTAGACCCTGTGAGCTCTTGCTGCGTAAAGCCTCCTCCAATCCCCCATCCCAATATCAGTTTCATTTTTAATCATGCAACACGAAACCGGTTAGGAAGTGTTAAGATCGTGACCATATGTCCGCGTGTGTGTGTATGTGTGTGAGAGAGAGAGAGAGAGACACAGAGATAGAGAGAGAGAGAGAGAGAGAGAGAGAGAGAGAGAGAGAGAGAGAGAGGCTTAACGGGCAGAGCTGTACTCATGTATTACTGTCTATCGTCCATTCTGTGTCATTATGATGTCCGTCCTATTCCTGCGATTCGTTTTTCTTCGTCTCGTTTGGTTCTGTTTTCGCCTATTCTGCGTTTCCATGATGTTAATGCTCCCTCTATGTGTGTGTGTGTGTGTGTGTGTGTGTGTGTGAGAGAGAGAGAGAGATGCAGTCAGTCGTCTTGGTAGCATTTGAACTTGGATCTTCGCCGAAAGTGTCAACTCGTTCCATACGAGCGGATATTCAAGTTGTAGTAGCTTCCCACTTCGTTATGCCTTCTATAGTGAAAAGACTGACTCCATTATGCCTTCTATAGTGAAAAAACTGAGTTCGACAACAACTTCGATTGCCTTTTGCCACGTGGAGGCGCCCAGCTTTGTCCAACGACAGTCAGTCAATTCGGTACTTTGTCGGACATGAAAACCGTTACGAAATCACTTTCTTAACATCCATTCCATTCGCTCTTCAAGTACGACCCACACACTCCTGCTTGTTATTTATTCGGTCCATTTACTGTTTGATTAAACTCTCCAGAGGCGATCAGAGGATGGCATATGTTGGCCTTCCATGATGGATGCTCCCGTAAAACTTGTTGAAAGTACCACACGCTGTACACACACGTGGGGGAAATTACTTGGTTACTTATCGCACGTGTGGATCCTGCTGCCACATACTGTATCACCCAACAGCTTTAACTTCCCAGTTGTTTCACTGGATTCACAGTAATTACCCAATTATGTGGGGAATGTATCAACCGCCAATTTCTTCCTTCTGATTTTTTATCAGCCCCCAATTTCTTCTCTTAGATTTTGTATTAGTCCCCAATTTCTTGAATGCTTCGGTTTCTTCCTCAGTTATCTTCCTGGCTTGACAGGTGTCTCCCGCCGGCTCCTTTTAACTCCTTTCTCATGGTCTCTCGCCCTCTTGCCTCTGCCTCTTGCTCGCTTCGTTGCTCCGATTTTCCAATCCCGCATATGAATTGAATCGAAAACGAATCTTCGTCTGATGTGCTTCGGGGCATCACCGCCGTTAAAATTGGAACGATTTACAGAGAGAAAGAAAAAGAAGATTAGCAGCATGGCCCCTCTCCCTGCGCTTTCAAGGATGACACGCATAACTCGAGAAACGGTCCAAATTAGAATGTTAAAAAAACAAAGAAAAAGAAATCGAAACTGACTTCGTCTGATTTCTCGATTTTTGTGTCTCATCCTTGAAAGCGTAGGGGCCATGCTAATCTTCGTCTGCCTACTGGGAAATAAATAATAATAAATCAAAGAAAGAAATAATAATAAAACAAAAAAAGGAAAATAATAAAACAAAGAAATAATAATAAAACAAAGAAATAATAATAAAACAAAGAAAACGACGCAGGCTCACGGAATCTTCGTCTGATGTCCGTTAGGCGACGCACATACAGATCCCCATGCTTGCGTTAATGCGCTCCATGGGCCTGCGTCGTTTTCTTTGTTTTATTCTTGTTCTTTTCCATTCTTGTCTGCGATTATGGTAATTCGATTTGTTTGGTTTTCTGAATGTCTCTTTCTCTCTTCTCGGGGCAGATGCACGGGGGAACCGCGGACGGAATAGAGACACGAGGAACAAACCGGAGGAAATCGACTTGTTATTTTCCTCTGTACAACTTCTTACGGAAATCCAAAACCAACACAGGAAAAACAAGTTTGATCAATGTAGCGATTTGAGGAACCCACGCAATAGATTATTTATGTTGTTATTCAAATATTTTTTTCGATGCGAATGATCGACGACTGAAATTTGATCCCGCGGCTTCAGGTGTAATCGACTGTGTTTGTCAAAAAGAGAGTCAAGGTATAGACTGTTTACAGGCTGTTTCATCTTTATCTCTCGGGCCTATGGAGGGTGAAAACAAAGACGAGAATCAAATCCTTGTCTGGAGGATCCTCGACATGTGGATAGCTATTGTTTTCACACTGGGATATCCAATTGTGCCAGCGTAGCTTATTGTTTTCACACTGGGACATCCAATTAATTGTGTCAGTGTGGAAATTATCGTAATTGATATACCCTCAGAGATAGACCAGATGTTTTTTTGCTATCCGAAGCACAGCACAGCTGGTTTGCTCTCTGAACTGAACCAACTGTATTTTTTGCGGACTGACTTTTTCTCGGCTGGGGCGGTCCAGAGGGAAGAGGGATGCAGAACCGCTGCTCTTGATTCTCCATAGCTCGGTCCTAATGACACATGATGACTACGGTCTTCAACGGAATAGAATACACAACCGCCGGTCATGATGAGGTCCTGCAGGCACCACACTTATATAACAGAAATCGACGCATTAATGAGTGCCAGGCCAGTTTAATTACTGGCCGATTGCACTGCCAAGCCACGTGAGTCTTCGTCTGATGTCTGATGCACTGCCAAGCCACGTGAGTCTTCGTCTGATGTCTGATACAGAGAAAGAAGATTAGTAGCATGCCCCCCAACTTCACGACAGTTGGGTTATATTTTGCCGATTACGCTCATATGAAGTAGTTAAAAAAGAGGGGGTGACAGGAGCAGCACACCAAAAATAGGCCAAGAACAATAAACAGGAATGGAGAGCAAAAGATGGGGGAAAGCAGGGAAAAGTGGATACTGGGAAAAGAGCGAAATGCTCGGCGGCCAGTGGAGAGCTAATTGCGATGGAAGATTTATTTCCGGGCGGCTATGGAGAGCCCGCAAACAGATGAACAACAATTGCGCCCAGACAGAGGTCACCTAACACATCTCTCCCAGCAGGTGTATGAGTCATGTGGAACTGGCCCACCGCCGTGCGAGTGCATGGCGGTGGGTGAGTGCACTGCCGAGCGAGGTGGATCATGGGAGGGCATATGAGCAGGCATGGCGGAACATGGCATCGGTGCATGCAGGGATGCTGTCATGGGTGCAGGCACACGTATGCATGCCCACGTGGGAGGCATATGTGTGGGTGCATGGCGGTGGGCAAGTGATCTGCTAATCTAGGTGAAACGTGGACAGGCATATGAGCAGGCATGGTGGAACATGGAATGTGTGCATGCAGGGATGCTGGGATGGGTGCAGGCACACATGTATATGCATGCCCACGTGCGAGGCATGTGGGCACGGAGGCACGGGCACGGAGGCACATGCAGGGCAGGCGAGTGCGGACGCGTGCTGGCACCCATGTATGCACGTACCCATGCATGCAGGTGCGGAGAGGTGCAGGCAGGCATACAGGTGTGCAGTGCAGGCAGGCAGTGATGCAGGTGCGGAGGGGTGCAGGGAGTGATGCAGGTGCGGAGGGGTGCAGGCAGTGATGCAGGTGCGGAGGGGTGCAGGCATGCTGGTGGGTAGGCCCACACAGGCAAATGGGCAGGCAGGCGAGCACAGATTCAGGCAACCGCACAGGCATATGCAGGCAATCACGCAGTTACACACACGCATGGACGCACACACGGAGGCAGGTAGGGCAGGCAGGCGTGCATGCACATGGACACGTAGGCAGGTAGGGCAGGCAGGCGTGCATGCATCCATGCATGGACTAGAATTGAGCGATGGGAAAGCAGGATTACCACAGAGGCAAGGAATCGGAGGGGTGTGAGAAACAGTCGCAGTGGTGAGTGAATGGCGGAGGTAAGAGACAAGAGTTGGGACTGTAAGACTTGCAAGGGCAAGAGAGGGAGATGGGAGGTGTACGATTTGGGGCATCAGTGGGTATGAGGAGGAGGAATGCAACGAGTGCTTACTTGAGGTGAGTGAGGGGAGGTGGGAGACTACTGCATTCCCCTGAATGCAATGCGTTGTGCTGATGAATGTGTACAAAGTGTTTTTCTGCTCCAATTGCATTGGCGAGGGTGTGTTGGGGAAGACGGTAGTTGCGGTGAGAGGTATGGACGGAGGTAGTAATGAGAGAAAAGTGGGTACCATAGTGTTGGAAGGAGAGGGTACCGTAGTGTTGGAAGGAGAGGGGAGGTGTGGTGATCGAGGGCAGAGACCAGGTGATTGGTGATGAGTGAGGGAAGTGGCGCGTGACACCGTAGCGTGGAAATAGCGCACCGGTACAAGGAACAACTTGAAGAGCGGAGGAAAGACCCACACGGCTGGGTGAGTTCAGGCGGGAGAGGAGGGGATTGCAAAATGGGAGAATGGCAGCTGGGAGATTATATGAAGTGAGGGGATCGTAAAGGATAGGGTGAGAAATGGGAATCTACGATTGGAGAGTAGATCTCGGAAAGGAAAGAAGATGAGAGAAGTGGAAGAGACCGGCTAGCGGATGTGAAGTGGAAAGTTTTGGAGTAAGAAAAATACAGAAATAGCAGGGCAGGAAAGTGCGTGGAGTAGGCGAGTTAAGAGAGGCTGGTCACAGTCCTCAGAGACACAGAAGAGTACTTGGTAACAAGTTACAGAACACAGGTGGCACTGCCAGTCTGGGTATAGGACATAACTGTACGAGTGCATAGGGACACTGGACCCACGTTCCAGCATAGCAGTCATATCTCTTTAACTGCCAGTACACGGCCCCAGCCTTGCTGAAAAGAAGACTCGTCGCCTACAAAAATTTCGGAGGCCTAGCGCTGTAGGTAAATTGAATTGGCGGTGGGCGGCCTCTGAAAAGGGCCTGCGACCGATAGCTGGATGTCCTGGCGGTTCAAGAGGACACAACGGTGCTCGGAGACGGATTTCATAGCAGTCATAGCTCCCCACCAATAGATGATGGAGCCTTCAATACAGGGACCTGCTCAAGGAGGATGCTCTCATCACCTGGTTAAGCAGGACTCCCGAGGCATGAAGTTTTTGTACTATATATAGGCTCCTGATGAGTCGGTGAAACTCCGACGAAACAGTTCGTCACAGCCCGTTGTTTGTTGTCCTCTTCTACCTCTCTGCCTCCGGTTCACCGGGCAGTTCTGTTTGTGACGATATATATTCTGTTTGTGACGATATATATTGTATATATATCTGATTTGACGAAACTCCGACGAAACAGTTTGTCACAGCCCCTCGTTTGTTGTCCTCTTCTCTCTCTCTGCCTACGGTTTACCGGGCAGTTCTGTTTGTGACGATATATGCTACGACTTCGCTAGCTTCCTGCTATGGTTTTTTCCGGTCAGGTCGAGCGGCAGTGGTCGGGGCCGTTACTAGGCGGCCTTGCTGTGCCTGTAGTGCCAGCGGCGTGTCTGGAGTGTATTTTTTGGCTGTGACAGACCTTTCTTTGTTTCGTGGATGTTTTGYTGGCTTGTGATGGGGTGTGAACCGACAGTCTGTAGAGTTTTCCATCTGGTGTGGGTGAGTGATAGTCTACTTYGATTTTGGTTAAGGTAGATTATCATTTACAGTGTAATCAGTGAGGGGATTCTGCAGACTGTTGAGGGTTCAGCCTCCTGATGAGTCAGTGAAACTCCGACGAAACAGTTTGTCACAGCCCCTCGTTTGTTGTCCT